AAATGTACATCAGTGATGCCATGTGGAGTAGGTATGAGAAACAAACTGTCTCACTTTCCAGCTGAGCAAACAAGACCTTCCTTGGTCCCAAAAAAACAAGAAGTGAGCTTTTCCTGAGAAAGCACCTGAGACTTTGTGTAGGTTTTCCATGACATCCCTGGTAGATCTTTTCATTTACTGTTGGTTGGAAGGAGACCAAGCCCCAGCCTGATGGGCGCCTGTTGATCTGAACTCTGATGGACAGGGCCAAATACCCAGCGTTGGATTAACCTAAAACCAGCATCCAGAATTTGGATAGGGCTACGTGGAGCGCTTAACATGAGAAAATATTTGATGGTGATCTGTGGTTCCCACTCCAAAAACAATGGGCAATGCAAAGAGAGACCAGTTTGCTGCCTGTTCTGTGCAGAACTGATGGTGTTGAGCAGCAGAGCCACGGCATGAGTTGGTTGCTGGTTTGTTGGGGCACACAAAGTCCTACATCTCTGCTTTGAAGAGGAAAGAGGAAGAGTAAAACCTTCCCCTGCCACTGGTAATGCTCTTCTTGTTGCAAACACGAGTTACATCTTGTAGAAGCCTGTGAAGTTCATGCAGTGAAAACTGGGCTGAGCTCAGATCGACTCTGTCCTTCACCAGGCAAGTGAGGACTGGACCCTGCCCCACATTTCCCCAGCTGGAGCTGAGAGGAATGAATTGCATTCATTGACAAGGTGAGAAGTGTGTCATGTTTTTGCTTGCCCTGTGCAAGAAATATCCTAATTTAAACCACCACTGTCTTCTCAGTTTCTGCTCCTTCCTGTGCCTCCTTGCACAGATGTGCATCTCTAGAGAGAAGGCGCTATCCATTTTGGTCCTGTCAGATCCTCTCTCCCCCTCGTGCTTTGTGCTTGTGTCTCTTTGTACTAATTCACTCTTCCCTGAGAAGACCTCCATTACCGGAGTAATAGGTACTATTGAATCAGCCTTTGATGTGACGAGCAGTGGATTTTTGCAGTCAACGTGTCAATTTAAGCTGTGGCTGTCATGCTAAAAATAAAAGATCAATTCCCTCTTCCTGGAGAAGAAATTAAGGAAAAAAACCTTTTCATGTTTTGAACCGAGTGTGTAAGGCTGAAGAGGGTGAAGATGGAGATGAGGATGTCTCCTGAGAGGAGTAAATTTGTCAGTTTAGCAAATTAGAGAGAGTATGCTTGCACCTTTTAAGTAGTCAGGTACCAAAATAATGTCACTGAGTAGGCAGGGCTGGGGTGGGGTTGTTCTCCCTGCTAAGCAGAGCCATGGATTTTGACAGATTATTCACACAAGAGGCCCAGAGAATCATCTGGCCGAGGACGATTTCTCTGTTTGTCTGATTTTACAGTGTGTTGCTGCAAACCTGTTCAGCATTTTCCTTTCTCTTTGTGCCCTGGTGTCCGGGGTGCTCGGTGGGACCCCCATGGCCCCTTTGTGGGTGGCACCTCTGGGGCCTGTGTGGTGCCAACCGCGCGGGGCCTGCAAGGCCTCGGTGCTGCTTCACTCGGTGCTGTGACGTGTAGGAGGGGATCTGATGAATTATTCAGCAATATTAAGCGCCCTGCGAGGAATGATCAGCAGCTGTGGTTATGTAAGGTGAAAGCAGAGGATTTCACACGTTTCGGTGTTCAGGATGCTGTGCCTGGGGATGTTGTGGGGGGTGACACGTCCCTGTGGCACCTCAGTGCAGTGCTGTGCCCATGCCCCCTGACGAAAATAACTGCTCTTTGTAGCCCACTTTGTGCTTTCTGCCAGAAAGGGGAAGAAATGAGGGAAAACCACCCCAATGGAGCCAAGCTGTGGCCAAAAGCTGTCTTCTGTCTGGACCCCATGGAGGGGGCTGGAGGCAGCACCCTGCCCTCCTCCTGGGAGCTCGTGCCCCGTGTGCCCCCCCACCAGGCTGTACTTGTGCTATCTCCCTGACAAGCTCACAAAAGAAGCCCAAGGAACCAGCCAGCCAAGCAGATAAGGAAACAGATGTTGTAGAGCGCAAAGGTCAAATAAATACAGACAGCTCAGGAAATAGGCATTGCAAAATGATGCAAAGCTGAATAGGTGAAAAGAAAGGCTTCTTTGAACGGAATTACAACGGGGAATCTCTTTTCTGCAGAGGAAAAAAAATATTCCGATGAATTCAAGGCAACAAAGAGAAGAAAGGGCTTTACATTTACCAAACTGCAAGATATTCTGCCAGGCCTGTGGACTGGAAAAAGCATTTGACAAACTGCAGTGGGTAGGATTATCGTGTACCAGACTAGGTGACTGCTGACCTGGGACTTGCCTTGCTCCCCATTTCCGAGTGATTTAACTTATTTCTAGCCTATTAAGAAAGAGACAAGTCTCTAATTAAAATACATTTAATTCCAGCCTCATTAGCCTGGATCATGTTTCGGTGTTCTCGTACCACCAGCAGAGACGGGACTTGTACTTATTGTCATTAAAAATGCAGAATGCCACCAGGTGGTCTCTCTCTGGTACAGGCAGTGACTTATGCCACTGCGTTTGTCACACAGATGGCCACAAAATCACATCCCAGATCCATTCTAATGACTTCCGCAGCCCTAACAGCCATCCCAAGTGGGACTGGGGACAAGGGGGATTCGCTAAATGCCTGGGTCTTTCTTGCAGCTTGTGCCCTGGCGATGCTCAGGTCTGCTCCCACCAAACCCCACTGCTTGGTGTTTCCCACATTGTTGCATTGTGTCAATAAGAATCATGAACCATGCAGCTCTTTTCCCTCAGTTATCCATCGCTGTGTCTTCAAACGGTGAAGCGTGCACGCTGAACGAAAAGGAACACTGCAGGGGTAAAACACAAAGGGAGATTAAAGACACCTACATTTGCTATTTAAATCCCATTAAACATCAATTATGATCATCCTGATAAAGACAGGGCAGCATTTGAACAGCCGCTGGTCTTGGTTTTGTAAAATGCTGAACACGGTTCCTTCAGTGCTTCTCTAGACAAGTTTACAAAGACGCTATCACTGTCCCTTAGTCACAGCTGAAACTTAAATCTCAGCACATATGGCTTACAGGGTGGAAATGTGCTGGTGCTGGGGGGGCAGGATGAGATTTGTTTTCAAAGAGCCAGGAAATGCAGAGCTGGAGGTTCCCAAAACAGCAGCTCTGCTACAGCCCCCAGTCAGGGTCTGGCAATGGATTTTGTAGTCAAACACAGCATGGCAAAGCTAATCAGGACTTGCTAATTCCCATGAAGTCATACGCTTCAGATTCACTTCAGACTTGCATTTTCCTGGAATAGCTCAATAATAACACTATGCTTACAAATGGAGTCTTGGTTTATCTGCTGAGACCACAGTTTGTCTTCCTCTTGTGGTCACTGCAACCTTTCTCTCCCACTGCTTGCAGTGGAGCCCCTGCCCACTCCTGCCCCCAGGACTAGTCATCCACTGGGCTTTGCATACTGATGGATTTTCAAAGCAAACCAAACAATATTTGCTTCAGCAAGGCCACTTTGCAAGCAGATTTTATTGGACCACATCCTGCATAAAAACAGAAATCCAATCTCATACCCATTGTCATGTGCCTATTATTTTTCTTCTCATCATTGCTTTTTCAATTCTTCTCCATGTGTAATTCTCCTTCAGCAACATCATTCAAAACTTCATAGAATTCAAATATCGCTGCTTTTACACTTGTATCTGCAGTGATATGTTTCCTTATCTTGGATCTCTATTTAATATCTTGTTTTCCTGGGCTGACAGCTGTATTCTTTGAGCTGTGAATATTGCCATTCAGGGATAAAGACGTTTTCTTGCCCTGTGGTTCTGTATGAGGTCCTTTGCTGATATCTCACTGAACATCTGAAGTCTCCACAGCATCCAGAGCTGCTTTTGGCTAAGACAAGACAGACAGCCCTGCTGGATTATTCACATTATTCACTCCTGTGCTGTATTTCCATGTCCTGCAGGGGCTGGGACAGCTTTTGTGGACTGGGCTGAGGTGGCCCCAGTCCCTGTGCCTTTTCCTGCAGGGATCCAGCTCAGACCATGGCAGGCTGGGTACCACACAGCAGCTTTTCTTCACTGTGGGCTCTGACAAAGCTGATGCCTTGTATTTTAGCTGGGTTTCTGGAAACTGGCAGCTCAAGGTATTGAAAACCTGTGTCACTAAACCCCTGGCTGAGCTAGTCTGTGGGATTTGGGGTTGCTGTGGTGGCTGTCTCCTGGTTCTTGAGATAACTGATTGCTAATGAGCATCCCAGCAGAGTACCTGGGCTGCCCTGGGGCTCTGTCCTCAGCCTCCAGCAATGTCCTAGGTGCCCACACCAGCCCTGGGACCACCCCAGCAGGGGGATTTTTTTGTGACCTCCCACTGGCTGCAGGCTGTGACCCTGCATGCACCAGTAATAAAAAAAAACACTGTGGTAGCAAACTCTAGGTGTTGCAGGGTGGCATTTTGGGGAGAAATTCACAAAGACTGAGCTGTTCCTCTCCAGCTTAATGTTTGTGATGAACCACGGGGGGGAAAACGGTGCCCCAGAGCTGACTGCCACCAGCGTGCGCTGCGGCAGCCAAGGGGCTGAGCGTGTTTGTGCACACGTGTGGGGACAGATGGGCGAGTGGCAAGGGGAATCCCTCTGCTTCCTCAAGCAGAGATTGCTTGTATTGTCCTTTTCTGTGCATAGCAGGTAACAAATGAAGCAGCTGGCGTGCATCTTAACCAGCCAGAGATCCGGAGGCAGGGGGAGAAGGAAAAGCGCAGCCAGTCCAAAAGATGCTTTGAAAGGGAGAAAACCTTGCTGCCAGGCTTCCTTCCAAGAGCAAATTCTCTCTCTCTTTCTCTCCCTTTTGGTGCTGTGTTATTCCTCCGTGGCCAGGAGGCTGCAGGCATTTCAGATCTCTTCTTCAAGCCCATGTTTCAAAAAAAAGGGCCTGCAGAATGTTTGCTTCTCAGGCTCAGCAAATGGGAAGTGCACAATGCAGCCGTCTCTAAGCCTCTCTTCTCCTGTCTCGGGGAGAAAGGAATTTGCCAAGCCCTAGAGCCTGACTCACTCGCTGTGTGAGCATGAATTAACCAGGAATGTTCGAGAATTATTCCTGAATAATTCATGAACCTGAATTAATCATGCATTTTCATGAATTATTCATGAATAACTCATGGAAATGCAAGGTTTATTCATGCTCCAAAAAATCCAAGGCTTTTTCTCTTCTCTTCTGCTTTCTCTCCCTGTAAGAAACAGACCTGAAACAAGCTAAGGAAAAAATATATATATGTATACGGAAAAATAACAGGAAAAATAATGCTGAAACAAAACAATCAAGAAAAAAAGAAAGCAAAGGGGCTTTTTTTTCCTTTTTTTTTTTTTTTCTTCCTTCTTTTTGTAATGCAGTGGGGACAGCAGGTGGGAGCTTTCTAAGCCAGACAAAGGAGACCTGAGAAGGAACTGTGGTGAAGGGACAAGCCCAAGGCAAAGGACTGTCCGGCCACCTCCTCTCCTGGAGCAGGCAGCTGAGATCTGCATAGCCAGGAGACATTTTGCAAGACTCAACACCTGGAGCAGTGCTAACCAGGCAAGGACGAGCTCTGTTGCTATCAGGATTTTGATCTCTCTCTCTCTTTCTCTCTTTCTCTGTCTGTGCATTTGTGTAGTTTTGTTGTGTTCGGTCAGGGAAACGAGCACCTGGTAAGTGGGGCAGGAAGGAGCAGCAGAGGAGTGAAGATCAGTGCTTTTTGCTTTAAATGGTACGGAAAGAAAAACACCTGTAGGGAGATTTGGGGGGGTTGGGGTTGTTTGCTGTGTAGAATATAGGATCTCTTTAAAACAGCTGTGTTTTGGGGAGGGAGAAGTCTCAGCTTTCAGTATATCCCACTCTGCTTGGTCTCCGTATCCTTCCTGGGGCTACGCAGAGGGCTGGGTGCAGCCGCCTGCTGCAGAGCATCCAACCTCCGTGGCTGGCAGGGGGACGTGGGGAGCAAGCTGTCGGCGCATGGCGAGCTGCTGTATGGTGCTGCCTTATAAAAATAAATGGCACGGCGTGTCTCGGTCAGGGGAAAACGATTGGAGCGAGCCAGATGTGAGTCTGTGCCAGCAGGGCAGGCTGGCGGGTTCAGGGAGTGTTACAGCTCCTGCAAGCAGCTTTGCTGCAGCTGCTGGATGGTGGAAGGGGGAAGGAGAAAGTTGTGCAGGGTGAACCGAACCTCCCAGGTGAGGGGAATCATGGCCAGGCTCAACTTTAATGGGGATATGGATGCAAAATGAGAGATGGCAATAAATTGGGGCATAGCTGCCTGTCTGGCCAGTTTGTCCCTGCTCCACCACTCCTCTCCCTGCCCCAGCTCCCTGCCATTGGTGTCGGGCACTGCAGCCATCCTCCGTGTGCTGCCTGGCACAGGGGCTCAGCCCCAGTCCCCAGAACCCTTCTGCCAAACGCTGCCACAAAGTGGAGCAGGACGGGCTGAGGGATGCTCTGCCAGAGCCCTTAGGAGCTTGGGCGGCTGGTCCCTGCCTGGTTTTGTGCTCATCTGTGATGTGTGGGATGAAACCTGGAAAGAAATCCTCACTGAGCCTGGTCCTCAGCTGCTCCTGTGGCTTGGGAGGGTTTGAAAACTATTTGGCTGTCTTCGATGTCTCCTTTGCTGCTCCGTGCCTCAGTTTCCCTTTGTGTGAAATGGAGGTAAACTGATGCCCTCATTATCAAAGCAGTTTGACATTTCTGAAAATAGCTTTACAGGCAAAGGGAAGAGCATTTTCTGGAACACACCTGGGTCTTTTTGAGTCTTTTCTCTGTCCTGCCCTGATATTGCACAGATCTGGTCCCCCTCTGCAGCAAATTTCTGTAGCCCCGTTGATGTTGATTGAGCTGTGCTGGTTCATGCTGGCAGAAGAACCAGCTTGTGCATGCTTGGTGGCTTGTCCAGGGTCTGCCCAACACATCCCAAGTTTAAGCAGCCCCTGCCTGACCCCAGCTGACACCATGAGTAGCTGGAGTCCTTCAAATTCAACTGAGGGACAATAAAAGCTTGTGGGACTGTGCCCCAGTCAGGACAACCCCACAGGGGAAGGATTTAGGACAAGACAAGCAGAGCAGGGGAGGGATGGGGAAAGAGGAACAACAGATAGAAAAGATGAAAGAGGAAATATTTTGTACTTACGGGGCTTGCAGCCTCAGGCAGAGCCCCCTTAATGAATTTCTCCCGAGCACGAAGCCGTGCTGTGATGCTCTCCTCCTGCTCTAGGTGGGCAGCCCCGATGTCATCCAAGCTCTACGTCCTCATCAGCTGGCCCGACGGCAGCCGTGTCATCAACATCGAGAACATCAAGGAGCCCCGCAAGCCCTTCCACCTCTACACGGTGGGCGAGCAGGTGCTGGCCCGCTGCCCCGGCTTCAGCGGGCTCTACTGGGGCATGGTGGAGGGCATCAGTGGTGAGTGAGGGCCCCGTGCTTGGAGGCTGAGACTTGGGGCTGCTCAGGAGGGGACAAGGTCGGTGCTGAAAGGTCCTCTCCTCTTTTCCTGCAGAGCACAAAGATGTCCTGGAGAAGAAGCTGCAGGAAGACAGACAGCTCCTGGGGACGTTAAGTGAGTAGTGTCCCGGCTTTTGGAGCTTTTAGTACAGCGGGATGATGGGTTTGGGGTGAAAGGAGTTGATGATGGCACCTTTCTACCTTCCCTGGGGCTTTCTGGGTGGGGAGCTGCTCTGTGTGGTGCTGTCCCGTCACAAATTTCCCAGCCCTACCATCAGGGTGAGCAGCGGCGAGCGGGAGGTGGGGGATGCCCAACACAGACCCCAAATTGCACGTCTTGAGTATCCACTTTGCTTTCAGAAGATGAACCGGCCAACCACAGCATGATGCCACCTCAGGCAAAAAAATCCAGGAAAACCTTCCCAAAATGGACCCCGGGGAATGCCTCCAGGAAATACGGGGACCGGAGTTACCCCAGCAAGCCGCTGCTGCGGGCAGCCGAGGCCAGCCTGCCCGGTGATGTTGGCAGCTCCTCCATCATCAAGGAGAGACGTGCCCTGGGGCCACCCCACCCAGCCAGTGCCTTCACCCCCCCGGCCCCTTTCGTCACCCTTGCTGTGCCAGGGACATCCCAGGGTGAAGAGGACAGGGCTGGCACCGCTACCAGAGGTAAATGGGGCTGTAAATCAGGACCTTGACTCCTAGCCATCTCCTGCTGTTGGGCTGGGAACCTGTGTGGCTGCCAGGACACCTCCGCTTTGCTCCAGGTCTACGAGGGTCAGAGATGAAATCTTCTGGTCCTTTTCACCCGTGAGATCTTCAGGAGGGTTGTCTACAAGGAGGTGCATGTGCAACAGCATATGGGATCTGCTCTGCCAGGCACCAACTTTTCCTCCTGGGCTAGCAGCTCTTTCCCTGTCAGCCAAGAAACCAATCCAGCCTGCCTGAATGCCTGTGACACCCAAAAGTCCTGTCCCTTGATTAGCCAAGTCTTCTAACGTTTGCCTCTTTGTTTGCCTGCTTTTCCATCCACCAGTGCATGTGCTAAGCAGTTCTAGAAATGCACGGGTGCATTCTCTACGTGCTAACAGCAGGGTCCAGAGACACACTGATTCCTCCTGCCTTGCCCACTAGTTTGTTTTTTTTTTTTCTTGGTTGAAAACACAAGCAGCCCTCGAGACACCACCTTCTCTAAAAACAAAATCCCCGTTGTTCAGTCCTGGAAAGCACATTCAGGTCATTCTGGTTATGCAAAGAGAACCATGTGTTGTTGTGCAATTCGGCACGAGTGCTAAGATAATTTGTCCTGGAGACAAAGGGATTCAGGTGCTGGCCTGGTCAACAGCAGGCTTGTTCATTTTGTCCCCCATTCCTGCCTCTAGATTACGTTGCCCTGGCAATGAAGAGGAAGTCAGATGGCATCTTGTCCCAGTGCCAGCAACACGTCTGTCTGAACAGGTAACACCTGGCGGCACGGTGAGGACCCCGACTGTCTCGTGCCATATAAAATCATTTCATGCGATGTTTTGGGTTTGCTGTAAGTGAAACCAGAGCTGACTTTGCTGCCAGCCCTTAAATTCCAGATAATTCTCAGCAGAAATTAATCCAACAGGAACGTGGAGCTGGCGGCAGTGCTTCTTAGCTTGCTTGTTTCTTCCAGCTGTGAAGAACGAAAGCTGGATGCTTTGCAAGAGACGGATGACTTTGAGAGAGTTCAGAAAAAATTCGGTCCTGGTGAAATGGAAAGGTAATTAGCAAAAGGAGGCACTTGTTCCTAACTGTATTTCCCTCACTACAGAAATGAACACTGAGACCACAGCTGGGTGACAAAATGGTGCAATTTCAGAGCCAAGAGCTGCTGAATCTCAATGTAATCAGAGCCAGGTGTTTCTGATTGTAGGGCTCACTGCTAGAGATGCAGGAAGGCTCTAAAACAGTGCAGAAACCACAAAGCTCTTGCCTATAACCATCAAAATGCCACCTATCGTGTTTGAACATGGTTGCGTGTTGCTTGCTTTATTGTCCATTACTTTAACGACAAGTACCCAGTGATGAAGTAGCTACTAGGGACAGTTTTACTGCAAAGAAACATGTGCCAAAAATCATGTTATGGCACTGGTATTGTCATTTCTTGTGTTTCCATTGTTTTGTACCATGGATAAGTGCCCCCTGGGACTTACTGGCCTTGTATCTTCCTTAAAACTGAAAAGAAAATTGGCCATCCAAGCCACCAGGCATGCATGATGAGGTGGGGTTGAGAGTTGAATGTTTCTGAGCCTCTGGAAAGCCTTGACTATGTCATTTTTTGCTCATCACCCAGGCATTCTGGCAGAAACCTTGTCCTGGGCTCACTTGCAGGACGCACGTCAGTGCTGCTTGGGTTTAGCAAGAGCCATGGGGCTGTTTTCCCTCTGCCCATCTTATCCTCTGGATTTAATTTTTCAGGGAGAAGGTAGAGCAGCTGGAGAGGATGGTCTTGGACCTGCAGCAGGACGTCCTCTCTCTGAAGAAGAAGGTGCAGCGGCTGGAATCCCTCTCCTTCCAGGAGGAGCCCCACCGGCCGCCCTGCGAGGTGGTGGAGCTCTTCAACGGCTACACCAAGGAACAGCTCAAAGAGGCCATCCGTTTCGACCAGAAAATCAGCACGGCCTGCAAGACTCTGCTCTACAAGCTCTTCACCTCCGACTACATCCAGAGCCACTCCATCACGGGGCGGAGGGGCAACACGTTCCGGGAGGCGAAGCCCATGATGGACGAACGCTGCATCAAAATCATCCGGGTGCTGTTGAAACAGAAGTTCGGCGATCACCTCAGCGACACGGTGATCACGGAGAAGATACAGAACGTGCAGAAAGCCCTGAGGCAGAAGTTTAAGACAGAATGTCTCTGACAGATGGGGGATTGGTGTCTCTGGTCGTGGTGCACCTGAGGAGCTCTCCCAGGGAAGATGTGGCCACAGGGTCACCCTGATTCCCCTGGAGGAACCCACCCAGCAGATCTGGGTGTTCAGCACAGCACAGACCTTTCCTAAATGTCTGTCTGCATTAATCCGGAGGGAATTTTGCCCAGCTTGGCTAGAGTTCTGCACAGCTGCTAGCACTTTACAAGCCCCTTCCTCTGTGGTCTGTGTGCAAGCCTCAGGGTGCTGTCTGCGTGATGGGCTCCGGAACTTTTGGGTGGACAAACTCAAAAAAGCTTGAGGGTAACAGAAGGGCAGACTCATTAAAGCAATGCCATAAAACCTCCAGAGAAGGATTATTTCATTCCCCACCCCCACCCCTTGTTTTAATGTGGTTGTATGGAGGAAGTGTTGAAACGTTTGCAGTAATGAAATCTGCTGAACAAGAGAAGTCTCCCGTGGAAATTACATGACATGAATTTTCCTTTCAACACTCGATTATCTCCATGGAGAAATCCTGCACATTTTCAGGTGGGGAGGAGGGGGAGAACAAAATTTGTCCCAGTGCAGCTACACCTTTCCACCTTTCCTTCAAAGAGCAGACATGTTATGAATGCAGTCATTATAATTTAAATACAGTATTTATATCTTAGCTAAGAAATTCCAGGTACAATCAGGGTGTTTTTTTTCTGTATGAGAGGCTAAGGAGAAGGACTAGAAAAACATGTTTGTTTGTCTTTTTTTTTTTTTTTTTTTTTCCTTTCTAAATAGCTTAGAGCTGGAGTTTGGGTCCATTAGAAGTATTTTTAACACTGAAAGAGTAACATGCTGGCAGCTGTCCACCTAACAGAAGGGCCGCAAAATACCAAACATTCCCTTTTAAACAGGCTTCTCAGATAAGATTTTTTTAAGTTTAATTTTGAAATTATTGAGGAAAGGAAACATCACTGGCTTTGAGGTAATCAAAACATTTGGTTTAATTCATATGTTTTGCAATGTTTTCAAGTAATTACTTTCTTTAAAATCACAGGAGAAATAATAGTGAAAAATGGATGTACTGAAAAACACAGAGCTACTTTGGAAAAGCAAAAAGAAGTGTGTGATTTTCAGAGCTTTCCTCCCTGCCCCCTTATTTCTAATTGAAAAACAAAACCATTAAGTAGGGTTAGCACCGTGCAGCATGTTGATTTTGGTGGCAGATACGCCTGCCAATGTTTTTGGCGCTGTTTCCATCAGATGTGTTCAACACTCATGCCAGACTGCTGTAGCCAGGAACTGAAGATATTCCTTCTGTTTTCCCAGTGCAAATGCCCCTCCAAACTCTCTACCATGCAGAAGTTGTTTGTTTGTTATTTATTATTTATTATTTATTTATTTATTTGTGCTCAGAGAAGAACCCTTGGGATGCTTTGGACGGGAAAGCTGGAGGGAAGGCTACAAAGGCACAGGTGGCTCAATTCTGCTGTGCTGGCTTTGGTAGCAGCCCCTGGGGCTTTGCAGACCTTCCCTGCAGGATCGATTTCCAGTTTCCCCAGCTGCACCCCGGCAGTGGGATGTGATGGTGGGGATGCTGCCTTGGACCACCTCTTCCTCCTCCAAGCCACTTCCCTGGGCACTTGTTTCACCTTCATCCAGCCTCCTGGCTCTTCATCATATCCACCTCAAAGCTGCAGCCTCACAAATACCATTTATTGAACCATGCTGCTGCCTTCCTCCCCCAGCGAGCCCCCTCAACGAGCTGCAGATCATTACTGCACGAGGAGGGAGAAGCAGACTGCAGGGACGGGCTTGCTGCGGGTACCGACGGCTCCTGAAACAAGTCTTTAATCAGCTCCCCTGGAAGCAGCCGAGCCAGGCAACCTTTCTGCTTGCAAGGCCCTTTGGTGGCTCCCTGGGAGGTGAACTTCACAGCCTGATGCCCTCGCTGATGCTCAGCCAAAGCTCCCCAAAATCAGGGCTGGCAGCACGGGCTGGTGGCTGCTCCCCTGACTCCGTGCAGCAGCCTCAGCACAAAGGAGCTGATGCTCAAATGGACCCTTCCAGGCAATAAACCTTGTCCTTAGCTGCTTTCAAAGGCTTTGATATGGCAGAGAGCGCTGAAGAAAGGCTACACAGGTGGCTTTTCGTTAAACTTCAATTTTAAGGTATTTGTGAAGTGGAGGCAGCATTTGCAGGCTAATTGGGAGCACTCGCAGACACCGATGATCAAGCAGCACCACGAGGAAGCCGGTGCTCACAACTCCCTGAACTCCAGCTCCGGCTAATCGGCCTCGAGAGAGAAGATCAGAGCACAGGGATGTGACATCCCTTCAGGGATGAAGAGGTCAGGGAAGATGGAAGAGGAGGAGGAGGGTTTATGCCAGAGCCACTTCACCTGGGGATGTTCAAAGCCCGTCTCTCTGAATGACGAAGGGCAGCCTGACTGAATTGTGTTAACCTCTCACTTCTAAAAGAATCGCTGGCAGAAGCTGGACAGGTCTTTCTGCTGAGATGAATTGTGTGGGTGGAACCGGAGCATCCCATTAAAATCAGCGCTCCCCTCCTGTTCTGGGCACTCCAGGGACAGCAGGGCACGGGCAGGGAAAGCTGGGCTCAAAACGCAGGCTGGGCTTCAAGGGAATTTTGCAGTTGGTGCAGAAACAAAAAGGAATGGGATTTGTCCACCTCTGAAAAATACACAGCAGGTCTGAACCGTCCAGTTCTCTTTCCCTTCAGCAGGACGCAGAGGTCCTGCTCCTTTGCTGCTTGCTCCCAGTGCAAACCCAGGTGGGCATCAGCAAGGCAAGAGCAGCCAGGAGAGATGCTGCTGCTGAGAGCTCACAAGGGCAAAAAAAAAAAAAAAAAGACAAACAGCCAAAACAAGAGGGAAATTCTCTGGTGCTCAATCCCGTTTATTTCAATTTCATCTCCTTGACTCTGCCCGGGGGATTCCAGCGTCCAGCACAGGCAGATTTTAATTTGCCCATTTCTGGGCTCATAAGAAACACACACCGCTAAATCTCTCAATATCTGCGCTGTGTGAATCCCCTGGAAAATGTAACACAGTTTATTGAAATCACGCAAACTGCGAGTATCGGTTAAAGGAGTAATGTTTAAACATAACTAAATCCTTTCCTGGTTTTCAATCAAGTGTTACAGAAGCTGGCTGCAGTTCCAGGAGGCCCAGGCAGCTTGCTCAATGCACTTGGAAAAATCTTCTGGTGCAGAATTGGAGGTGGAAGTGTTTTGTGCTTGTGGCTTCATCTGGTTCGAGATGCTCCATCACCCAGCCCGAGGAACTGGGACGTGTCCTGGGGATACCTCAGCTGCAGGGCCAGTGGGATACAAAATGCCAGACCTTGGTCTTGGAACTGTCACATCCTAGTGGCATTCAGCACACAAACAGTGTCACAGGATTCTACTTATTTATTTATTCTGTTTCTCTTTATCTTATATGGCTTTTAAAAGAAGTGAAAGACAGAAAATGCACGTAGAGCTGTGCCCCCCCAGCTATACGTGTATATGACATTAGCACTTTTGAAATATTTTTCAAATCACTTTTGAAAAGTGACTTTTCAAGTTACTTTTCATTGTTTTGAATTTTTCTTGAAAGCATAACTGCGTGTTTTGGAGAGTGTAGCCACAAACCTGGTAGGTGTGCAACTACATCAGATTTTATAACTTTCATCTCTCTGCTTCAGTCATATACTCATTACACATGATTTTTACCAGTATTTCTCTGTCTGCAGTACATGATTACATTATTCAGCCTCATCTCTCTCTATCTCCTCCATCTATTCAGAGTCAAATGGAGCTGGGGAGATCATTATTAAAACACAGAAAGCACAGAAATAAAATTAACCATAGCACCAGTTCTCTGTGTGCTGAATACACTGAGGAAATAAAAAGGTCTTCCGCGTCTAATAAAATCTGGATATGAATTACTTCATAAGAGCTTAAATGAATTATATTCAGAGGCCAAAAAGAGCTCAGTGCCCTCCGACTGCGGGATGACAGCTCTCGTTGCCTTGGCGTGCAGCGCATGGAAAGATGCCATAAAATCTTCAGAGCCAGGTACCGTCTTCTGCTCAGATGCTTCAGGAGAGCAGACATCACTTCGGTCCTTGCCCAAGTGCCTGGATGGAGGAGGAAGGACCCTGCAGAGGAGCGGTGGCATCTCAACCCTGTGCTTACCCCAATCCCGTCCTCCCAGGAAGGATTTGAGGCGTGGAAGTGGCTTCTCAGCTTCTTCCCCTCAGTGCAGGAACAGGGCTGGTGGGACCATGCTCCTGTTATCTTTATGAGGCCCCAGCTTCCCCTTGTCAGTGTCTTGCACCTCCCATCCCAGCACATCCCACTCCTCCAGCATCCCTCTCTCTGCATCATGCAGCTTGGAGGCACGCTCTCCTTTAATCATTTGTTGTATTGGGTGTTGGGTTTTTTTCTTGTTGTTTGGCAAAAGGACTTAGCTGGAGCCACGGGGACTGTGTGCCTAGCTCAGAAAGGGAGAAATTAGCACCCCACAAAGCCTACAACCGCATGGGGTTTATTGACAGCTCCTCGTAAATACAAGCAGCATAGCCCAGAGAGTCGGGTGTGCGAGGGGAGAGGAGGCTGCAGAAGCAACGCACTCCTGCTAACGAATAATCGTTAAACTCTTATGATCCGAAGGAGATAGGAGTTTATTATTATTACCATTAATTCTAGGAGTACCATGCCCAGAGATTCAGAAGGTGGAGATGGATGAGTTCGTGACCTACATATTACAGGCCAGAATTTATCCCGGTAATATGAGAAAATCAATCATTTCTTAAGTGAGAGAACTGATAAAATCACTGACTGCAGCGGAGCAACATCATCGCTATTATATTTTCAATACGTTCACTGGAAAGGTGCTGGGGAAGGGTCAAGCCCCTCTTCTTTATGTCTTAAGTGTACGAGTTTGTCCTGTTTCTAGGAGACAGGGGTGATGTTTTCATCACTCCTGCATCCTTGCCTTCGTTTGCAGGCAGGATTTCCCAGCAAAACCAGCTGCAAAAGGTCTTTGCAGAGCATGTTTCCTAATTCTCGGGCCAAACCAAGTTGTTGGGTTTGCATTTTCTGGAAGCCCTGCCTCTCTGTTCAGCCTGTCCCTGCGTTGCTTGCCTCAGCCTGGCATCGCTGTATTCATGACACTTCCAATGAGACCATCGGGGTGAAAAATGAAATCAGCCAGTTTAATGAGTTGTTTTGGTAGAGGAATTTTACAGCTTATTGTAATCTTGCCATTAATTTGAGTAATTCCTATTTGTATAATATACACCGCTGGTTTCGTTTATACTCCAAGGAGTGCACAAGGAGCTCGTGTTTTCAGGAGGGAAAACCATCCCCGAGAGACCCCGCAGCACCAGGGACAGACCTGCTTTCTGGTGTATGATTTGAAAGCTGAGAATGTCTGTCCTGTGCTTTTTTTCCCCCCTGTGTTGTGTACAGGCCATAACTCACCCTTCTGTGCTTGCTGGATTCAGAGGGCTGCATTTACAAGGTCACTCAGGAGCCAGAAATTCAGACCTGAGCAAGGGGAGAAATGCCAAAGCACAGATCCACAGCAGGTGCCTAGCAGCACCTGCAAAGCTCGCTCAGCATCTGGCTTTACTGTTTTGCTCCCAAATGCTCTTGAACACCCCTTGGATTTGGCAAAGTCCATATTGCTAATAGAAGAAAATGATAATTTGCAGACTCCGATGGTTTGCCCATTTTTATCCTGAATCTGCAGCGGGTTGAGATCTGGTCCCATGCTCATTAAGCGAGCACAGAGGGTAAGGAGGAGTGGAGAAGAAACAATCAATAGGGAGCAACCTTGTTTGCAGACAGTGCCGGGGCGAAGGTTTATTTCTGACTCTGCAGAAGGAGGCTGGTGCTCTGAAGGGCTCAGGAGTAACATGAAATAGGTGCTGAGCTCAGCAGCTACCTGTGAATTTTGGCTGTGGCTCCTGAAGTGTGCTTGCAGGGCCCGTGCAAAGGCAGGTGATGCCAATGTTAGCAGCGTTAAACATCTTCACTCTAACTGAATTTGATGCCTGGGCCAAGGGAGTAATTCCAAGCCGTATCTACCCGCTGTTCTCTTTAGAAATAGCCCACTAACCCTGCCTGCCCTTGCGAGACTGTACCGTAAATCTGCAGTCATCTGTGGTGACAAATGGCCTGAAAAGTGGGGAAGAGGGGAACCCATGCTCTTCTGTGAGAAGAAAAAGTTAATTTTTGATTAGGGAAGACAGCAAATGGAGGAATTTCCAGTTGCACAGACATTATCCTGCCATTTCTTATTAAAATTAAATGCCTAACAGTTCCAGT